CACCTTTGTCTTTTGACACACTCCAGAACACACCAGCGGCTGCCTTGGGAAATTACACGTTCTATATAATTTCATGTTTTTTTAAGGCTTTAGCTTTTCCGCTGGACGGCTTTGTATCCTGGGATCATGGAAGCTAATAAAATTCCGGATAAACGTTTCGCGTGAGTTCTTGAAAAAGCTAAAAAAAAAACTAGGACAGCTGTGGAAATCGGGGAAATTGATTTTCAAGGGTTTTTGGAAAATCCAATAGGTATTTGGCTTAGAGGACGCATTCTGCGTTATACTCCAGTGAGGGATTAAATTATGAGGGCGATATTGAAGTTGAGGGGTATGAAATCCACCTATTTAAGTTCAGTATCAGGGAGTGCATGAGAATTTCAAAGTGCAGTTTCAAAATTGAACCCAGAGAATTATCAATTCATGGAGAGGTCGGATTCAACTTCCTCCGCTTCACAATTTACCTTGGGTAGTGGATAAATAATCAGGGGAATCTGCCAAAGGCGAATATCTCCAGATTGCAATTATTTGTTATTTAATCATCGACTGAGACTGAAAATTAAAGTGGTATTCTTTCCGTGCAGCCGCAATCTATAAAAATGTAAAGATGATAATGGTAATGATGGTAATAGGATGAACCTGAATTTAGAATCGCCTGAACTATATTATTATCGGCGACGGCACTTGCATGGTTTGACATGACCGTACCATTGTAGTGTAAATCACTCAGCGAGTTGGAAGGGAAGTGCTCAAACTTGAAATAGTCAAGGGAAAATTGTCATTGCAAAACGACTGTAACGTGAATAGGGAGAGAGGAGGTGGTAGGAAACGGCTTGACCTCCATCGAAAAACGTGACCTATCACAGGTATCCAAACCTTCACCGAATAATAGTAGCATTTGTTCGGTAAATCGAGTGGCCATGCAACACGCTCCACTGGATTTCCACGTACAACCTAGCACACGATCACATCAACACCATCACAAATAGCGACCAGCTCCGCTCAGTATTGAATTGAAAAGGGAAACGAAAAAAGACCAGAAAATGTAGTAAAAGTTTATTGAGAGAATGTTATTCTATCGGAAGTTGAATGAAAAAAAAAAAAAATGAAAAAAATGTCTCGAACGATTGCCAGGGATTTTCTACACATCCCTGGCTATTTTTCAAAATAAATAATGAATAATAAACAGAGGACAGTTGATGAAATCTCACACGAATGTCCGACGATGATCGGCCATGTACTGGTCGCTCTCGACTGGCGCACCAGAACGGGAAAGCCTTTTGCATCGCACACCAGCCAAGTCTATCATTGTTATCACGGCCTAGTTCTGCCTGTCCTCAAGTTTTATATATTCTAACCTGTCGATAATGACATGTCGACCAAGAAGAACAGCAGCATCAGGATGCACTGGGCTTAAATATTCCAGTGGGTGCCACGATCGAGGCAAAATACACAGCTAATGGAGAGAAGTGCCTCAGGGAGAACGACACTGTAGTCTCAGGCTTTTTGGCTTGTCGAAGCCTCTTTCATCCTGACTCTTCCTAAATTGGTGAACGGTGAATGACGTTATCCAATCTTGGGAAAATAGAGGAATCGATAGGGTACATGGATGATTCAACAGGGACTCAATCCATCATTGTGAAAAAATGAAAAATTTATTCACACGCCCCTAATTGCTCGAAGCATAATAGATTAAGACTCAATGAATAAAATAAGTGTTAAGGCTCGTTTTAACCTCATGAATCAATGGAGAATGCGATAAAACCGGATATGCTGAATAAAATGAAGGGCTGTGTACCTCGAGGCTCGATAAACCGTGTCTAACGCCCACAATGGCATCCGGTTACGGCTGTACATGTATATGTACCAACATTGCCAGCGTAAATTTGTTGCATCTAAGCACGAAGTCTAGACGCATTCAACGCAAGATGATTATGAACATGCGTTGAATTATTTACGTCTGGGCCCTACCATGAGGGGGAGGCTTCGACCGAGCTCCACTTGATATTCATTTAGTCCCGACAGATTTAATCGAATTGCATCGAGTGCTCTTTAAACAATGGTGTCTTCAAATTCGTATCATTGTTCTACCGGTATATATCCGGCGTTGAAAATTGTTAAATATTTTCACCGCTGAAGCGTTAATACAAACGAAAATTTCAAACGGGATGAAAATAAGTACAAGTACTGAAGGTAGTACGGTGAGATACTCTTGCCTCTGGGGTAGAGATTTAAATGAGAAACCAGTGGATATCGACCGACTCGTTTTGGAGACTTTCCGTTCATTCATTTGTAAATGCAGCCACGTGCTCAAACATCAAAGAAAAAAGTATTTGTTAATGATGCATAATTATGGCTGTAACAATCGTGACAGCAGCCCTTTTCTTCTGCTGAGGGTGGAGAAAATAGGGGTTTGTCGCGACGGGTGGGTTTTTATGGTAGAGGGTTCACTGGCTCCGGCTGGAGCCTAGCTGATTACGGGTAGCTGTGAAAATTTCCTGTCGCATTTTTTTTCCCCTTATTTAGGAGAGGATATTGTGGTATTCTGTTGAAGAAAACAACTTTGTGTTAATCCTCGAAATACTTACGAGGGTGTTGACAAAAAATTATAGATGAGATGAATTTTTTGGGTGAAATTGATTGATGAATCGACTGGTGTTGAACTAATGCAGTCTCTCCATTGGCACGCCGATGAAAATTTACTAGGCGTATATAATAACGAAGACACGCTGATGGTAGAGTGCACAGAGCCACGTGATATCCGATGATGAGCCAAGCGATAATGACATTAAGGGATCGTCATCGCGCTTCTCATGCACGGATGCCTGGTGTGATCGAACAGGTTGCACATGGGCCACCGTGCAATCAGTGGCCCAACGCCTATCTAACTTTATTCAAACCAAGTATTCGCTGACAAATTGAAAAGAAAATGCAAACGTCGCCGAAGTTTTTTTTTTTACGGGGCTGCGGAGCTGCGGTGTATTGCGGTGAAAAATTTTTCTCTCACGGCACCCCGTGACCCCCCTTTTACCAGGCTTTCCGGATACAGTTATCAATAAATTTTTCTCTTTTTATCGTGGAAGCCCGATAAAAGTTTGGTATAAGTTGGAAGTCGTGACAGATCGTAGTTCGTCATTTTTCTCTTCTTTATTCCAGTCTTTTCGAGTTCCACTGATTCTGCGCTTGACTTCATGTGGAACGAGAGTGGCGGACGTGATCGTGCTGCGATTCACTTTTTATTCGTGCGTAAAGAACAAAGTTTCATATATATCCTCCACGGCAGAATTATTCTTCTGCCACTCTATTTGTTCGTGATTTTCTGGATAATTCGATGAGGATATTTCCAGATATGAGAAAAAAAATTAAACAGAATAATCCCAAGTCCTCAATTATCCCATCCAATTAACAAAATGATACTTGTTTTTATCCTAAGAATCTTCTCTATCCCTCATCATATTATCACATTAAAATGAGTTTTTCCTAACAGAAAATGGCATCGTTCTCTTGGAATTCCGTGAAAAAAAATTTAATTATCATCGTTCTCCTTTCGACGTGGACTGATGAAAAAAGTTCCAATGAAAAATAGCCGCACGTTGATTAAACCCTCCGCAACTCATGTCCTCTCTCCTCTGTAATTCAAAATCCTGAGGGATAATTCCGATGCAAGAAATCGATCGATCGATCCCACGAGTAGAAATTCATCGAGAGAAGTAAATCGGCATGATGCTAAATGAAGCAGGATATGTGGAATACGTGAAGTCCATTCATCCAAGGGACAGTGGAAAAGTTGGACAGTGAAACGCTGGCATTTTCCAGCTTCTCCCAAAACAAATCTATACAGCAGTGACAACCACCGGCGAGTGGGTCGAAACGTTTATTCAAGTTTCGATCGCTGTTATCCCTCCCCTGGTGATTTCTACCGATGACGAACGCTTGATTACCAACGACTTTTTCCACCCTATCGGTGGATAAATTTTCCGCCGAATCTATTCATGAACTACGAACACACCATTTTTTTCATTTTTATCTGCGTTTTGTTTTCCATGGACAATCAAGTTTCCGGGCGGGTAGGAAATCAGTGGAGTAATATATGCCAACAATGTCAGAGAATACCAGTGGCTAACCACTAATTACCGCTATTAAAGTTCCAGCGATTCTTTGAAATCGGAAATGAGCCGATAAATTCCTGGAGGAGTGAAAAATCCGGAGATTCTTCGGTTCCTTCGAATTTAAATTAGCGAAAATTTCAAGACTGAGGGGAATGATTTCCCATTTAATAGTGAACATCACTGGATATTTTTATTTGAATTGTCAGTGGAAATAATTATGTAACTGTAACACCGAAATTTGAATTTCATAATTTCCCTGAAATTCTGCAATATTCGTTAGGGAAATTATTCCCACTGATTAATTCTCCTCTGGTAATGCGATTTCATTTCAACAAGGGGCTGGTTACCTCCATTTTCATATTTGTAATTATAGAGAAACGGTAAACCTTTGACTCATTACACCGACTCCAAAATTATCGAAATAACTCGAATATCCAGGATGGCAATTAACCATGCAATTCCCCGTTAAATTAAACGGTAACATGTGTGCCTGATTCAACAGAAGACTGATATGTGCAACGCAGAAACGATGGAAGTTTATGAGTTGAGAGCCATGCAAGGGACTTACGAAATTTTTATTAGAATCAGTGAATATATGGATAAAAATGGAGTGATCGACACTCGCATGCGATTTGGGTATTTCATCTACCTACTCCCGATTTTATTCGATCCGTTATCGATATCGAATTTCCCCCCGTTCTGATGCATAATCACCCCGATTAATCACTTGACACTGAGCTTATGAGAAAATCACAGATCGAGCACTGAAATGAATAGCAATAAATTTGCCAGTGTCAATAACACACCGTGAAAAAAAATTTGCACTCAAGTTGGAAAGAAGGGGGTAAAATAGTTGGGGCACATTGTTTTTAAATCGTGCGCAGAATGGCATACCACAGTTGCAGAGTTTTGGATGGTATACACTGCCAACTCGATTCAACTATACTTTGTGGTTTTGGTGGATACACAAGTACGTGGGTGTATTGCTGGGATGGCCGTGAGGTGAAACCACAGTGGCCAGTAGTGTGTCGCGTGAGTGCATGTCTCGGGATCAACATACGTGTGGTTACACTAACACGCGAGAACATGTCCAATTTTCACCCACTATCCTGGAATTCGTCATTTCATTGAATTACGGCTTTAATCCGACTACTACACCAATTGGTGCCACTTTGATTATTATTTTTTTTATCGATTATCCATTAAAAAATTGGAATTGCGAGAGAGGGGTGGAGGGATGCTCTAGGGTGGAAATGTCTGAGAAACCAATATGCTCTCCCATTGATGGAAACTAATACTGGAAAATTCTATCCTACTCCAACGATCCAATTAATGGCATTGACGTTCAAAGGCCATTGACCAACAAGTGAATTTTATTGTGTCATGTCCTCGGGCAGAGCCATCAAAATTTTGCTACTTGACCGGTGGATGAAAACCGCCAAATGCCTCTCATTACTAATTATTCAAAAAATTGAAAAATAAAAATGTACTTGAAGCCAGGGATAAACAACAAACTCGGAACTCCAAATAAAACGGTAAACAGGCGAATGTGAAAAAAGTTTAAAAGCTGATGGAATAATTTATTTTTCTTTTTTAATGGATAATTTAAAAACAAAGTTTCAGAAGCACTGGTCCCACTGTACAGAGTCGTTCTAGTGTTTACGCGGTACTGTCGGCTCTCGCTCGTCCTTCACATCCAGTCTGTGTTTGGTACTTTACATACACACTCGAACGTGTTGGGTTTTAATGTACGTATAGCGACGTTTTGTAGACGTTGAAAGAGGGGCTTGGGGCACGTGGATGGGCAGAAAGAAGGGGCAGAAGTTGAAGAAAAAAAGATGAGTGGAGGCCATGGGGACAAGGGAGATCTCAGACTCGAGTGGGAAGGGGGAGGCATCTAAAGAGATAGAGTATTCAAGTGCGAGTGAAACAACTGCCTGAGATATTCACTCCTCTAGTCAGTGAAAAAAAAAATGTTAAATTAAGGGCTCAGAGGAGAGGCCCATTTTTTTTTCTCTCTGTCGATAATCGACTTCCTATGCGACACAGTTTAAATCCGGTGAGGGACTCTTCAACTTTTTGCGCAGGCGTCAGAGAGGGTGTGAGACATACGTTTGAGTAAAGGGATGAGCACTAAGCGAGGTCGTGCATAATTATTGGCGATGGGATAATCCAATTCGCTGAGATAAGTCGATTGAGGACGTTTTAGACGTTCGCCATCATTATTCGTTTCGTCTGATGGTGAATTTTCCATGGCAAGTACCAAATACTCGAAAATTTCATTGAATATTCTAAATGTTCACTGATTTTCCAGTAACGAATCGCCCATAAATTTCGTCAAGATTCATGGGAGTTGAAAACTCACTGTTTTTTTTTTAACGCGAAATCCAGAATAACTTTCTAACAGTCTTGGTCAATTTTTTGCCTCTACAAATCATTTCCTTAACTTTTACTACCCCTAAACCCTTGACTCCCGGTCCGAGGTCAAACGTAATGATCAAGAGCGTGCAATACATCACCGAAGTAATGCGACATAAGCCAACGACAAACAGTTGTGCTCAAAGCCGCGTCATCGTAATTGTCGACCCCTTGCGTAACTACTGAGACCAAGTCTGTATCTGATGTGGTCACTATCAGGGTAAATTAATCCAGCATCCAGCCAACCCGCTGATTCCAATCACTCCAACCTGTGATTGACAATCATCTACGTCTTTGCCCACCCCCAGAGTCTTCGTCTTGGAAGGTCCCTCTCACCACACAACAAACTACACGAGGAAAAAAATTGTTCCAACGGAGAATCATCTCCAGACGTTCTCGTTTGCTTGCACCAAGTATAATTCAAAAATTAGAGATAGATACAAAACTTTTTCCATCTCCTGAATATTCGATTTACTCCTCCACAGCCCACGGAAACTTTGCCACCCGAGTTTATTATTGGGTGAGCAAACGGAGGAGTGAGTGTAAATGTAAGAAACAAGAGAGAGGGTAATGGATATTTTGTAACGTTAAATGGATTGATGAGATTGGGTGTCTTTTGGAGAAAGTGCTAAAGGCAATTTGGCTTTTTTTTTTCGTTATTTTTATTTCTTGGTCGAGGTACTTTCGGTGTTGGCCAGCAATAGACGTTTGTTCTGGGGGTCTTACGAAACCGCGAGGTTTTCAACTTCTTGCGGTATTTCAGATTTCGTTTTGTTTTGGCTTTTCTTCTGCCGTTGATTATTCTTCCTTTTTAAGTCTCGCCGGAAGGCTTAAGTGCGATGGCTGTGGAGCGGAAGTGGAATACGAGAATGGGGTAGAGAGAATAAAGTAAAGAATGAGATCTGTAGGGGTGGCTTTGGTACAGCACTTGAACGAGAATTGGCTAATTGTAGTAACATGGAATAGTCTTGCGAGATCGGTTATCTGTCTTGGTTATTTTTCTCGTGGCTTCATCATTGATTTTTCCATCAATGGATGCTGGTTTGAAGATAACATTTTCGGGAGAAATGTTTTATTTTCCAGTTTATTGCCACATATACAGAAAAATATATACGATATTGGGAAAATCGTATATATGTTCTGGTTGGAAAATGTGAAATTGGCTGGAGCAATATTTTTTTGTCGTAGTTGTAGTTTTAAAAAAGTACGGCAGTTTGGAAAATTTTCTTTCTTGAATTGCGAGGCATTTGCTCGGTAATCTGGAGGTTTCGGTTTAAAATGGAATCGATATTAGAAAGTTGGTTAGTACAGGAGTCGAACGAGAATTGGCTAATTGCAGTAATGTGGAAATCTCTTGCAAGATCGCTTATCTCATTCACTCCTTTTTTTTTATATCCCTTGATTTTCCTATCCTCAGTGAATTCTACAACACTTTGGTCTCTTAAAAATTTACATTTCTGAGAAAATCCGAGACGATGGACGATAAGAAATCTAGGCAGTCTCGGTTTTTTAGGGATTCTCGTGAAGTGAATGTGGAACTGTAGCAGGACATTTTCATTGTACTTTTTAATTTTGTGCACTGTGGAGGGTTTACGGTGGGGTTAGAGGATAAGTATTTAAATTTCATGGCAGTAGTTTTTTTCGGGTTTATTCCAGTTGGTGAATTAAAATGGAAGATGACAGGAAAATCTAGACTGGTTTCAGTTTTCGCAAACAATACGAATAGCCAGGAACACTTGAGAGAGACCGAGGAATGGCCTGTAGTCTTTGGCGCGTGCAAAATTAATTAATGTCGATAGGAGAGGAAGGGCTCTATTGGATTTGCCAGCAGTTAAATCACAGGCAACTGAGTTCTTTGGTGAGCTAACGAGATTGTAGACTCGATGGATGAAGACTAGAAATTTTTTTTCTAATGGGGAAATTCCTTTTCTCTTTGACTCCACTCGTTCTATTCAACATTCCCTGAACATGCAGAACTTAATGTTCGTAATCATACGTGAAACTGTCTTACATAAATATTGTTCTAATTAATGTGGCTCTCTTCATCCTCGTCAGATGATTCTTAAAGAATAAGTACTGTATAAGCCGAGTGGTCCCAACGAGGAGTGGGAGTGCTTCGTTATGGCTGCACTTAACCTTTTCTAACAGTTGGAAAAATAATTTGAGTCTATGGTGGAGTGGTAGTGAGCCCTCAGGGGTTCTTCTCCAAATCCTTTTCTTTATTTATGAATTGACGGTAGATGGAAGAAAAAAGAATTTGGGGTATTTTAACGGTCAGGGTGGAACTAACAATTTGAATATTCTGAATTCAGAGGACGGTTTTGTGTGTCGGCACTCTCGAGTTATGATATCGGCTTGTTACACTGTTCTCTCGTGTTTTATGCAGTGTTTCATCATACCGTCAAGTACCTCCACCGAAAAACGTCGGTAATTGAAGAGGAAATAAAATGGGAGAAATTCATCAAAAGAAATACGAGCACATATGAATATATATGATGTAAAAAATGAAACTTTCTCGTGTGAATTATTTCGAATGCATTTTTTAGTGTACATATGTAAAGTTGGTGGCACAGAGAATACTTCGCTAGTTATGACAAAAAAAAAAGTGGAAAATAGAGCTGCGGTAGTGGAGAGTTAGAAACAAGGGGAAAGCCTCGGACACTCATACGCATATTATTCTGGCGAATAGAATGGCTTTAAAGTGAAAAGTAGGAAAATGTTGGGAGAAATTCTGAGCCTTGCATAACACGACGCTCTTCTTAAGTTCTCCGAATTTTTATACCTTCCAATAATACCTCCTATTTTTTTTATATATTATTTCTTAACAGTGAGCGGATTTAAAAGGCATCGCCCTTCGAATTGAAAAAATTCCTAGGAGTAAATACATTGAATTCAATATCTGCATTGCCCCACCCATTGAAAAAAAATCAACGTCCATGAATCCATATGTATGACACACAACCCTAGGAAAATTCCCCTCCCCAAGAAACCCGAGATACTGTTGCATTCACGGAAAAGGTCCAAGTGCTTGATTACAATACATGAATATTCACTGTCGTGCGCAAGTTTTTCTTCTTTTGTTTAAAAAAATTTCACCCTCCCTGGTTATGCGAATAATTGTCTGGAGCCCCGCGGTAAAGCGCTGAAAACTTTGAGTGAAAATTCCTGGGTAATTAAATCGTGACAAAAGTAAAATCTTCGTTAACACTTTCTCATAATTGCGACAGATTAACTCCTCCTTTCAAGCCACTCCCACTCCTTCGTTTTTCTCCGATGAAAGTTGCAGTCCGATGTGAGAAAGCACGTGGAATTTTCCAAAATGTCTTCACAACTTTGACCAAGTGTAAACCTCTTCAAGTATTACACGAGCAGTCCCTCAATTTATTTCGGTCTGACCAAAGCTGTATTAATCTCCTTAACGGGTTTCTCAACTTAAGTAGAATTGGTGCTGTTTACAAAGACAAAATATTTTGGCTGGATTTAATTTCGAAGCTTCATCGGTATTTTTCACTTTTTTAATTTTCTTCAAATTAAAGACCCTGTGTAAAGCATCACGAGGAATTTGAGTAAATGTCTTGACAAGTTTGACGAAGTGTGAACTCCCTGAAGTATTACACGACGTTGTAAGTTTCCAATAGAAATTCTGATGATTGCGCAATAGGAATTGCTCAGAGCTCAACGTTACCTTTGATCCATTTCACGTAAACACGTTTCTCA